ATTCTGGTCTGTACGTCTTTAAATGTACACATCTCTCTCCTAGCAGTTGAAATCAGCATGCTGTTATTATCCTGTTCAATTAAATTACGTAACACATGCTCGGTTAAAGCGCATCGAGATTGAAGTATTTTCACGCCCACTGACTGGAAAATTTCTTACGAAGATAAACACATGGAACAGTGAATAAGTATACATAATATCTTCCATTTTATATTTTACATGAAAATAGAACTTTCAATTTGTACCGCTTAATTGGCATATGACGTAATCCAAAAATGTTGAAAAATTGCTTTACTTTAAAATTGAAAGATGTTGATAATTTGTTACATTGTAAAGAAGTATGTGTAAATTATTCCGATATTATTTTATTGATATTATTGATGATTATTGGCGTTCGGCTTCATCTTTTTACCAGTAGCATAATAATTATAAAATGAAGACCCATTAAACTTATACATAATTATAATTATCGTTCATCTTTATTCACTTCTGCGACCTTGTACACTTTTGTTTATGATATTTCATACAATATATTTTCTTATGGCAATTTTATTTTAAAATATATTAATTTGAATTGCATACTTAAATGTGCATGTTAATAACTTCCTAAAACATTTTGAGTGATATCTGTTTCATGCTTTACTAAAAAGTTTCCAAAATTGTCATTAAAACGGTATACAATATCGATATTAATCCGATTCTTAATTTTTGTAATTCACATGTGAAGAAACGCAGAATGCAATTGTTAAAAGTTAAAATTGTATTAGTAAACACATAGCTGAAATGAAAAATAAAAATAACACTTGAGGTTGTAAAATGCAACCAAAAACATTGGTTATCTGAAGTTGGATGTTACTTGCCAATTCTTATTGTCAGTAAACACACTATATTATACGACGAATTTTTCCTTACTGAAAGTTTATCTTCTTGAAAAATATGACTGAGACTCTTAAGTGTGTATTTTCGTAAATGAATTCTATTATCTACCGTGCCTTAAATTTGTTTCTTTCACAAACAAATCGTTATTTACTTAGATTTCCAGAGCGATTTGTAATGTTTAGCCCGTGTATGTACACAGTTACGGTCATATAAGTAGAACAGGGCCATCTAAATTAATTATAATGAAATGATGAATAAATTGAAGACCAATCGTAATTATATCGCGGATTTTATGCATTTATGTTGTACAAGATTGCATAGAACTCAGCATAGTTAACAGTGTGACAAATAGATTGCGAATTTTATGCATTTATAGCATAATAGAAAACCAAACATACAGTAGGTTCAGTACATTCTTTTATTTTATTCATAACACGACAAACTTAAGAAAGGAAAAAGTTTCTCTTTAGTTTTAACTCTGAAAAGTTTTAACTCTGTCTTTGTAAATTACATTTTAAATTGTCAGTTTGAATAAAGATCTGCAGTCCAGTGATAAAATGCAATAAAGCTTCTATTTTATTTGGAATCTGATATAACACCAAATAAATTAAGAATATTTCCTTTTGAGTCCAATTTTTGTAAATGAATCCAAAATTTATATTTGCATACACATCCATAGCGTAATATAATGTACCACTCCATCAATTTAACTTTATAAAGTGAAGATAATTAGAGAAAATAAAGAGACTAAAGTTTATGACATATGTAGTGACATATGTAATTGTCCCATTTGACAGTAGTAGTAAGTTATGATATGTCCAACAAGGGAGGTAACCAAACCAGGCTAGTAAAGTAATTTTTAAATTCACAGTAATAAATTTTATAATTTCAAATTAAAGAGTAAATTGACAGGAAAACGTTCGTTTATGTACCGTCGCTTACATCATATTCGACAACTATGACGTTAAGCAATGTAACTGCGTTAAAAATTAAAAAGGAAAATAAAACACAACGGTCGTTTGCGAGATACGTAAGAGCACCGAGCCTGCCGAGAGAGATATACTACCGATAGGTCCAAGACAAGGCATATCAAGGTAGCATCAAAAAACTGTGTACGAAACCCTGAGGAAATTGCATGATGTAATAATTGTCCTGTGGGAGTGTCTAGAATAGAACGAACACCACAATACGAGTGTTGCACACTATGGGAACTATTGTTACAGATTTTACAGTCTACTACTGTTCTTGCCTGGCCGCGAACTCCCACGTGGCTTTCACTTGTGTCCCCGCGAGTCCAAATCTTCGTCGTGTTCCATTCTGTCGTTGTTACTTCCTCTTCATCTCTGCCGAGGAGACTTCCGCTCTTTCTCGTCCACCGCTTTTGCGTGAATCAACGTGTATCAAAGACTGTTTATTTTCTTTTTATTTTTACAAACGTTCGTTTGTGTACATCTTATGATAGAATTAGTCATTCTATATTTGTTTGCACAGATTAATCTAAGAACATGGTCCAAGTTGATATAGACTATTAAAAACTTATTTATGTATTTTAATTTCTAAGTCAGACGTTCTAATTCAACACTCAATTATTGTATTATTAATATTTCAACACTCAGTTATGTATCATTAAATATTTGGCAGCTTTTGCTAGTAAATTCGAAAAGTAATTTATACTTAAACTAGTTCCCTTACTTTTCACTTAATAAAAATAACGTAAGACAATTAAAAATGATGTGTACTTCTTATTAACTATCAATGATCAATTTAAGAAGATGTAATGTGTTATATCTTCACATACCTAATCCTCTAATCTAAATCCTCTTTTGCATGACCAACATCAACCTCAACCAAAAATCAACCAAATGTGCATTATTTACATACTAGATTTCCGTGGATTTTATCTTTTATCTTTGTCATGTAAAAGTGGATTTATGACAGTAAATTATAAAATATGTAATTTTTATTACGTATGTGAAGCTCTAACTCACTACATAGTGCTGAATTGATATTTATTTCTAAAGAAGTCAGAGACGTATATTTTCGAAATAGGTGCACATTTTTTTACTGTCTTACCTACGTTTTTTGTGAATCGAAAAGTAAGGGAGCTATTTCATATTTAGAATACTTTTCGAATTCATTAGTTATAATTGTCAATAAAATTAATTGTTGATACATTTAATAATAGAATGTTGAATAGGAACGTCTGAATTCTGAATTTAATAAAAACAAGTAGCTTCTCATAGTTTATCTCAAGTTTGACATAGAAAATACTTAACTTCATCTGTGTAAACAAATACAGAATTAACATAGAACTTGTCATTTCGTCGATAAATTTCTATGTTTATAATTACATTTACAATAGGTTTTTTCGCTCCACAGTTATAATGACAAACTGTTTAGATCGAATAAAACTTTAAAAAGATTGGGTTAAACAACTAATTGTATGTATTATTGCAGACGGTAATGATCTATACCAATGATACGTTCAAACAAAGTTATAGTACGTACATTGGTGCCTGAAATGTTTATAACCTATTGTTACCGGAACGTTTATAATGCATTACGCGAAATTTGCTGCTGTAGCGTTAATAAGGTATTGTACGACGTTTCATAAAGAAGAGAAATTTAGTTGACGAGTACTACAGACGAATAAGTTGTGTGAAATACCATAAAGAAAAGCGAAACAAAGTGGATCAGCATTTATGACTGCTTATGAATTTATTGTAAGGAAGTATAAAGCATAAATTCCATAAGTCAAATTAAAATAGAAATCATTTACTTTAAAGTAATTTTAATTAAATTGAAATTGCAAAATTTAATACATTTTAATTTATAGTAAGAAAAAGTTTCAATAAATTTAGTTCCTTTAAGAGTTCAGAAATATTATAAGTTTTAATTTTATAAATATTCTATATACATAGAAAATACTTATCAACAAATAAGGTGACACATTTTTAATGGGTTTATGTAGGTACCAAATAAATAAAAGAATTTCACCATATATTTATTAAAAACCAAACTGAATTTTAAATATCTAATTAAACACTCTGTTAAAACAAAAGAAATGGTAAACAAATAGGTTGAATGCACTTTCCCTTTTTATACCATTTCTTTACTTGATATTTTAGGTTCAGTTACTACAAATTTTCTATAACTGCTAATATTTTAGTAGAAAAAAATGCTAACACAATATTATTCACATTTAAACCTCCATTTATGCTCTATTCTCTAGAGTAACTTGTGGCATTATATTAAATACTTTTATAAAAATTGTTAATCCATCAGTAACGTAATATAGTAAAGAACGCAGAACATAGAATTAATAAACAAAAACATAATTTTTTCCGATGACTTTACAATATTTTAATCGTCTCCAAAATAAACCCATAATTTCATTGTGTTAAAATAAATTCTTTTTATAACAGTACTACATAACTAAAGAAAATTACCCATTTTTTAAATAGAAACTATTAGTTCCAGAACCATCAAGAACATTATGTAGCTTCCAATTCTGCAGACTGGAATACTAGTCTTAATAATGGTATAATTACTGTTAGGCTTAAACAGCAAATTACAATTATTATTCTATTACACATTTCCGTAACTTTCCAATATTTTAATTGAGACCAAAATAAACCAATATTTTAATTATATCAAAATAAATATTACGTTAAAACAATGTTACAGAAAAATCAAAATTATCATCATTTAAATAGAAATTAATTTGAGGACCATCAAGAGCATTATATAGTTCCCAATTCTGAATACTTTATCTCATTATTACATTTTTCCGTAACTTCTCAATATTTTAATTACATCGAAATACATACATGTAAAACACAATTACAGGAAAAACAAAATTACCCATTGTTTAAAAATAAACTAATTCAAGAATCATCCAGAGCATTATGCAGTTTCAAATGTTCCAAACTGGAACACTTTATTACCCCATTATACTTTTCCGTAACAAAAGTTTAGGGGTCATCGAGGTTGTACGTGTGGCAGGAGTGCGGTAGCAGGACATGGTGGGAAGGGTGGTGGTTCTCCACTGTTTCACTCTATATATAACGGCGGACAGCACCCCACGCGATATTAAGAACGTTCACCGCATCCGCGGTAACATGGTTTCCAGTTACGAGGTACTTACTCCTACCAAGCTCGAACAACTCGACGAGTGTAACAACGTGTACACACTGTGCAATCGAAATTGTCTTAATGCATAATACCGAAGTCTGATCTTCGAACAATCAATTTTAATTAAAATGTAAACCACGCAGGAGTTATTCAGCATGTTTGTGCGTTTCCGACAACTGTGAATATTCGTGTGTAACACTAGTTCGCGATAGTGGTTCTTAAATTGATCGCAAGTGTCAATGTCACATGTTACCTAGTAAATCATTTTAAATATTGTGCAGAGTGCTATAATGTGTTTAGATTATTTTGCGATTTTCTAGTTTATTCTCGTGTTCCATTGCATATGACTACTTGGAAAGGATTGAAAATAAACATATGAACCGTTCACAGGCCAAAGTGAACTAACTTCAGTTTTTTAATTGTTTCATATTTCAATACCAAAGCACTTGAGTGGTCCTCATAATTTTTTATATTTTTATATTATTGTGGAGTCAATCACTTTGGAAAATGAACGGTCATATTGTTCTTGTGACTGTAAGTAACACAGATGGTTTGAAATAAAATATCTGTAAAGAATATTCAGTGACTGCAGAGATTATACACTCGATTCACTTTTGTTTATTAATATTAATCAAGGAAATCGAAGGAATGTTTCAAGTGACAGTGACAATACAGTAACAATTTCTACAATTAATTATTATTCTAAATACGCGTGAACAAAGTTGTGAATTATTATATAAGTATCTTAAAAACATATAGTATGAAATTTAATTTTCAACTAAACTGTCTTCAATTTTTCTTAAGTAATATTGCTTGAAAAATCTTGCTAACAACAAAAAGTTTACTTTTCAATTTACTGTATTTCGTATTTCACGTTTTTAAAAGTCAAATTTTTTAATACGAAATTTCATTTAATGAAAGATCCATTAGATGACTTGTTTACTCAGATTCTTGTCCAATTTGCCTGTAGATATTATCACCTCTTACTCTTAAGATGACAACATGGCTAATGGCAATTTTCTGTCTGGCAACCGCGGGCTGTTCAAACGTTACGGATCAGCAAACATCTGAGACACATCACGATCAGCAGGTAGCGATCTTGAAACAGATCAGAAAAGTGAATGAAGACGGCTCTTACACGTACGGTTACGAGGCGGGCGATGGATCATTCAAGGTAAGATGCAATAGCTGCTGCACCGTTTCATGCAAAAGGCATGAAATGGGCGTACTCCGTTACTTAACAGTTGTGAGAACGGGTCATATTCTACGCAATCTTTTCTAAATATATCCCCAGTACTATGTGAAGGATAAAATGCGATTGCATTAAACCTCGTGTACTGTTCAATAAATTATTGCATTACTGTTCTCTGAATTAAATCGAGCCTGAGTTAAAATTGAATCAAGGAAATATATTTGCCTATCGTTAGATTATAATACTATTCGTGCCAAATTAATTTACGAATTTCAATAATAAAATATATAATTCAGAATTAAATATTGGCCTCGGGTCATATTGGCTCGAATAGTGCACGGGGGATGAACATAAATTTTATACTGTGCCATAATACTTAATAAATGGTGTCTCTGAATAAATAGTTGAGTTAGGTTTCATGATTTACAACTTCTTCGAGAATTTAATAATATATTCAGTAAAAAGTAAAATGACATGGCAGTGCACAATAATTTAGGTACACGTAGTTGACGAATAAAAATCTTTTGAATAAATCCTTAACTATACAATGTACAGTTATTCACGAGTGACACGTTATCGTCCAAAACCGAAATACGGAATGTCGAACATACTTCTATTGTACAATAATTAGTCCATAAAATTGAATTTGCTAAAATATGCACTACTGAGAAGCAAATGTGATTGTTTAATTAGTGAAAGGTATAATCTCTCTTCAGTAATTTAGAATTGTGTAATTGACTTAATTCACCTTACGTTAAAGTCAAGATAGAAACAAGTAAATGTTTGATAAAGAAGAAGCAAAAAACCGAATTATGTAACAAGCTGCATAGAATATAGTTTTAAGTAGTTCAATTAATAATTCATCGGAATTCATGCATCAATTCTGGATTTAACAATTCGATTAGAATTAGAAAGTGATACATCTTTGAGTCATAAAATTTTTCCCATGAAAAAGTAAGTGAACTATTTCTGAACGTGAGAAATGATTGTCAGGTCGAGAGTCGTGACGTTCTAGGCAACATCAAGGGTACGTTCGGTTTCGTCGACGCGGACGGTGAAATAAAAAGGGTGTCGTACTCTTCCTCTAACGGGACAGGGTTTAAAGCAACCACCGTGTCGCCATTGCAGGAACAAGTGTCCGTCGTGCAGAGCATTCCGCGTGTAAACCGTACCACCACGACCAAGAAGCCGAACATCATCTATCCCTCGTCCACCGAACCGACTACAAAAACATCGGTGGTTCAGTCTATACCGCGAAACAGAAAAGCCACAACTACATCAACCACGACGACAACAACAACGACAAGCACAACAGAGCAACCGAAATCGATATTCGGTCATTATTTAAAAGGCACCGGGAAAAGTAGGCCTCGTTTTGTGATAAACGGACAACAAAGGCCTCTGGTGATAGAAGAAGAAGGAGGAATAGAGGATGAAGACTCTCAGATAAATCGACCGAGCACAGACGACAAAACCTCCACCTACAGACGAATCATATTTGCTAGACGGCCAATCGAGCAAACCCTTCGACCGATCTCGGATGACTTCGTGGAGAAAGACGACGAGGCCAAAGTGACGACTGGAAATACGTTGAGAAGACAGCTGCACGACGAAACCACGAAGTCCAATCCAATCGTGGAAACCAATAACGACGACCATCCTGACGTTTACGGCGGATCTTTGTCCACGACGCGGCCTTTGTTCACCACGACCACGCCGCCGAGGGTCCTCCAACGTGTCCCGGCTAACCGCATCGAACGACCAAAGGTGTACGTAAACCGAGAGAATCTTGGCCCAGCAAGATTCGAAAACGTGAAGTACGACAATTCTCGAGCATACGAAGCAGAGACGAAAGCTACTCGGGAAGAAGTTCGTATTCCTGCACGAGTATCTGAGAATAGAGAGTACGTACGGCAAAGCACGGAGCCTGTCTTCGTCAGACAGCAACCGGAACAGTTCTTGCGCGAGTTACCTGGTGGAAGGATCCTACTGCCGACTCAGCCAAACAACCTCGAGGAAGATCCAGCTTACAGACAAATTCCTCTTAATAGAATCTTACTACGTCCTCTGCCAGGTCAACAGCCAATTTATTCAACTACAACAGACGCTAATATTCATTATCTGACAGAGAGTACACTCCCGGAGCAAGAAGAAGACCCAAGAGTCGCGGTGACTCCGGGATACATACGTCCACGACCGTTTCCACGGCCAATGATCTATCCGGAGCCCGATCCAAGACCTAGACCAGTTCTAAGACCAGTCCCGCAAACGGTATCACCACCAGCTGACGACAGAGAGTATCAATCGACTCCAGAGTATCCGTACAGAGGCAGTACGATCGCTCTTCCCCCAGAGCCTCCTAACCCAATTGCTCCTCCTCTTAGCCGACGGGACTTCCAGATGCTCCTAAGAAGACTACTTGTTAGCCAATACGGTGTCCAGGCTTTGTCTTATCCGAAAACATACCTAGAAGATGCTTTATACGATCAGCAACCGTACCCATCCTATCAGCCAGGTTACCAAACGCCTGCCCCGCGATCAGAGATTGGGTATGATCAGCAGTTGTCTGTTCAGTATGGCGATCGGGTGCCTGTAAGGCGCCCCGTGTACGCTAGAGCACTGAATCCTATCTATCAGCCGCAGCAATACGAAGAATACAACGATGGCAGGTACTCCAAAAGAGTTTACAGGCAAAAGTTCTACACGCAAGACGTCACCGATGACGGGGACGAGATCTTGCCTGCCCCTATTAGGGAAGCTTTATTGTTGAGGATGCTGCAACTGGCCATCAATGTTGAACGTCCAACCATGGTCACGACTCCAATGATGACCACGACGACGCCAGCGACCAGGTACAGGAAAGCTGGACCGATCAGAAGTGTACAAATCATCACAGATGACGACGACGAGAAGGATGTTATGAAGAAGAAAATGTAACAATTAGAATATTCTGATGAATTTTTCTACTCTTTACTAGATAACGAATTTCTTTTGCGGACTGATGGCACGATCGATCGATCGATGGTGGATGAAGTAACTGCAGACCATATTTATACTTCAGCTTTATGGATAAGTACGGGCACGATAGAAGCATAGTACAAGCAATCTAGTTGCATTGTGTAATAATTACGAATTCAGCGATGTTGGTAGAATAATTCCTCTTAGAGCGAATAAAATTAATTGAGGTACTCTATAAAGGAACTATAACCTAAAATGAAGTGCACCAGTAGGAGTACTGGAAATATGATACTGTGAAAAAATGGAGTAGAACAAATATTTTATACTCGTAGGATTCAAATGAATAATTTCAGACGGAACTATTTATTTTTTATATATACTTTGTTTCTTCATCTACTAAATTATTTATTTTCTTCATACACTATTTTTACAAATAAAACTTTAGAAACTTTATACTTAGAAAACACTTTCGTTAAAATTAAAAAATTAGATATGATACTAATGACTACATGTAGAGATAGAATTTATATGCAAAATATTACAACCAAGAGACACAATTTCATTTTCGTTTCAATTATATTCATTCATATCAGATTTCTTCTCTTTATATATGGAAAATATAAATGAAGGAGAAATATAAACAACGTGTTATTAAATATTTCTACAATACATTTCTTGTATAGGAATTATTTCCATGTTAGAATTATTAATATCACACTTTTTATGAGCATGCATGATGGTTCGGCAATGTTCTCTTTTTATTAATTTATTATTCTTTCCAAGAAAAAAAGAATGATCAATAGAATCGATTTGTTCGTTCATGGACACCATAATGTAGCTACAGTACAAATCAGAGTCCATCGTTCCGATTCAATACAAACAAAGTGTCGTCGTATTGACAGACCGTGAGAAGGACGAAAATCTAAGGTTGATAGACAATCACGGCGACATAGTTTTCACGGAATCCGCTGAAATCGTCAGGGAAACGAATCGCCTTCTCAGAAAGGGAAATGTCCTGTGTGTGTTCGTTCAAACGATTTTCCGCACGACAACTTTCCAGTATCTCGCAACGCCTCGTTTTTGCTTTCAAGTCGGATCGTCGTCCTTTCCTTTAAATCGTTTCGACGCAAAAGCAATTAAACGAACGTTTATATGGTCAAGCCGGTATATACACGCAACGATTACGTTGATCTTGCATATAACCGCGTCTCACTATGTCACTTATATTATAGACATAGACTTTCCAAAGATGATCGGTAGAGTTACCACTAGAGCACTGAACAAAAGTACTTTAACTTAGTTTCGAGGTGGTTACCTACGTTTAACATTGTCGTCTGTGATTCTGATTGTAACGAATATATGAGGTGTATCAATCAGCGAGTTACTGTTCTTATTAACAGAATAATAAAAGTAATAACATTTAAAAATCCTCCTTCAATTCATTTTTTTAGGAAAGCTGCAAGGGATTTCTATTTTTTGTACAATGAATGTTATATCTGACAATACACAGTGAAGTGTCAATTTAGTAAATAATAATGATTATACTTATTGTACACAAAATGTGAAAGGATGGTGAAAACAGATAAGGTGTATCTGTGGCGTTGGCAGTAGTCATGAAATTTAGTGAGAAATGATAAACGTTACTGAAGAAATTATTTATCTAGGATTGATTTTTGATTTTAGTTATGTGTAAGGGTCTCCATTGTTCCTGGTTATGTTATGAAATGTTGGAAGAAAAATTGTCTTGACATATTTTCATTTTAACGATTGGAAAATGTGTTCTGTTTTCCATGAATTCTTGCGAAAGTATTCTGCGTGCTGAGACTGTTTTAAGGCGCGAGAATGGAATTCCTGATACTCGCACTATTCTGATGATATCGTTGGTTATTTGACGAAATCACTTAAGAATCAGTTTGTGAAAATTTGGTAAGTGTTCTTGGGATCAGAAATCGGTAAGACATTCATTGCAAATAAAGAATTTTATTTAAATTAAAGGTTTCGTCCACGAAAAAATAAGAAAAAGTTTCATTTTAATCTTGTACTACATTAAAAATATGACATTTAACATACGTTGTACTAAACTTATAAGTTTGAATAACACACAAAAATTTTTTAAACTATTGCCACGTTTGAAATAAGGCTCCTTAGATTATTAAAAATGTTATCAATACTGTAAACGTAACACACACACACAGTTATGTTTACAGTCAAGAAGATTTAAATACAATATTAAAGCTGTCCCTTTTACTAAACACAATAATTCACATAATAAATGTATAGGGTATGAAATGACGATAAAAATGTAAAACTCCACTAAGTTTATCGACAGTAGAATCGTCCAATGATGTATTTATTGACAGCCATCCATAACTTATCCCAAAACTTTTGACGATAATATTGAACGGATCTAACCACGTTACGATACCGTCCTATAGCCTCTGTTACACTGTAAATATAATGTTTCTCTATAAACTAGAGTAATATATGTGTCTAAATAAAACGAGATAGATGGTAGATAGAGTGGTGTGAGAACTCATTTCATAATCCTCCAACAGCCACGTTACCGGGAAAGAATAATAACATGTCTGCTGTGGGTAATTAGCATCGCTAGTTGCGACACTTTGCAGTCGGATACCGCGGACTTGTTAGGTGCCGTGTATTTGTTAGGCGCTAGTACTTATAGTCTGCACGATGGCTACACGAGACGGGGGCGTAGATCATGGGATTTTGCCCGTGGTTTCCACGTATTCAGAGCTCGCGTGGCCTCTTGCCAAATCTCCGGATGCAGACACAGTTGGTTCGGGAAAGTTTCGGTGTACACCTGTGTGAGAAAGGCGAGCGATTGTGAAGGGACATAGAAATTCCGTTTTTGGAAGAAATGGTAATAATTACAGGTAGAGACAGGTACAAAAATAGATTTCATATTAAATTTCTTTGAAGAAACGTTTGGAAGATTTAAACGAGCATGATGTTATAAATTCTTGTTTCAATTCGGTATTGAGGCAAGGATTTATTGAAACTTTCGAACATTTTTCTGATTGTTTTTGGAAGAAATCTTAATATCTGCAGGTCAAGCCAGATTAAAAAAATTCTTATATATTAAATTTATTTAAAAAAACTTTGGAAAAATTGAATGAGAATATGGTAATATTGAAAATTCTTGTTCCAATTCAGTCTTGAAACAAGGATTTATTGAAACTTTGTAACGTTTCTCCGATTATTAATTAATTGCATATTATATTATACATTTGAATGGGAATGTTAATTTTATTAATCGTTGTATCGAACAGCGGTAGTATCAAATTATTAATCCTTAACTTAAATATCTCGATACATTCTCTTTATTCAACGAAAAACAATTTTTTTTACATAAATAATATTGTAATATTGTGAATAACCCAATGCCTTTATATTTTCAGTTTAACAGATAACAATAGATGATACGATAAAAGAAGGTATGTTGAATATATTCATAAATATTAATTCGAAATCGAGTATCTGTAGCTGTGTGCAAAACTTTCTTTGCTAAATAGATATTTTTAAGAATACATCTTCATTTGTGCGTGAACAGAAAGTTTCACGTTGGTATACTGGTATTATCTGTGGAATAATAGTCCACGTATAAAACTAGTTCATTTGATGATTTTCAATCTTCCAATGAAGAAAGAGAAATGAGAAATTGCAGATGTGATCCTTCACTATAATTACAATAATACGTAACATGTCAATAGAAAATACGAGTAGGAAAACGAATAAGAAACTTGTGAGGTAAAATATGAAATTGATCTAGTACCGTCTGGTTTATTCCTCGAACTATTATTTGAAATGTATTGTTCTGTGAATAAGAATTGTGTGAAAGGTTTTTAATACGTTCACTAACGTTTTCCGGTTACAAAGCCGTTTGTTACAGAGTATACTCGATTGCTAATTTATACTATACAATATACCTCCATAATTACGTATTCAACAATTTCTAAAAGGGCCCAATATGTACTCTGAATTCTCCATTACACATTCAGCTTCTATGTAATAAATTAAACAGATTTCACTTGCCTTTTAATGTCATTGAGAGAATGATATAACTGACAATAATTCCCAGGAAAAAGCGTGAAAGTGAAGGTGATAAGGTTGCAGATATTTAGGGTAACAGACCCAATTATTGTCACTTTAAAAATTGACACTGGCATTACTGCATAATTTTTGTATTAATTGACCAAAAACATAAGTCTTTATTTGTATTTATTATTATTTAATATGTTTAACTGAAAAAGAAATTTCTTATAACTTCTTGAACCACTACTTTTATTTATAAATTCATTAGTTTTAAAAATATATCTCGAAAGCTATTACTGTCACCCGTAAAAAGATGTTCGATCGATTTTCTGACATGTCAATTACTATTACTGTTTTTATATATAGAATCATATTATATGTTTACAATACAAAACATACATTTACATATACTAAAACAGATTAGGTTGCACGTGACTGCAGACGGTATTGGTGATATTAATAGCATAAAGCTTTGTTTTCGTAAGCAATTACTGCCATGACAGTAATTAAGTAATTATATTATTGAAACGCTTGTACCAATCACTATCACCCAAATATTTAACTAAAAAACTTAACGAATCGTTGAATTATCATCGACATTATTTTCTATGATCTTTATATTAAATATCTAAAATATTACATTTTATTATATTACTAGCTCAAATATTACAATTATAGCCTTCTCTTTAGTACCTTGTTTTTCCTTTCGTTAATAAGGAAGTCGTCATTTTTACTCTTTCCAAAATTAAATGCTAATTTTTCTATCGTATGAATTACAGTTTTAATTATATTCAGAATTGTCTTTATATATAACTTCACTACGTTTGTTTGTTATTTTAAAATTTTAAATAAAACAGTCTAGGATGGCAGTAATTCGGTAGGTGACAGTAAATGTCTCTTTTACCTTAACTGTTCTTAAATTACTACGAAACTTGCTAGAATGCACGAAACGATATTTATTCAAACAGACAAGATATTTTACATGTCTAAACGTAAGAGTTCGGTCATACCGGACGAGAAGGTATTTTCATAGGACAAGCAATCTTTCAACTTTTCTCCGCGAGCCGGATATGCATGTGAATGGTTCTCGTTAGGAGACAGAAATGTTTGTCAACTATACGGTGTACGTATGTTTTGCAACCCGACACTTCCGGTATCCCGTGAACGTGCCAATGGCGTACGTTACGTTTCGGCGTGGACGATATGGAAACAGTTCGTCTAATTAGAACAGTCGTTATTTTTGTCGACTTTCCACGTCGGTGATGGAAAGTCGTCGTAAATGACAGCAGTTCATTGTCTCGGAGGAATACACAAGCCACATAGTTGCACGTAAAGGAATACGACGGACACAGGAAGAAAGTGGATTCGCGATCTTGATAAACTCCCGAGTTCAGCTAATGATCACACAACAAGACGCATAAAGGGTATTGTACGTATTTATATTTTACAGAGGATCTATATTTATGTTTTTCGCAATTTATATGAGACTATATAAAATTATAATAATTACATCACGTAAAATAACACATTCTAAAGTGTGTAAGAAAATTTAATTTTCTTCCGCATGTAGTATATTTTATGCAGTGTATTCAACTTCAAATAACTTAATAATTTACTCTTTGTTGGGTACTTGGGTACAAAACTTTATGTGTTGTTAGTCTGCGGATTTTATGGATTATAGCCTATAGGGATCTGTGAAACGTAACAGAAGACAAAACTTTACAAGTTTTGTATTTTATTCGGAACCCAGTAAGATATTTAAGAAAAAAATGAAACTACTTATTTATTTTTGTTTGTATGAATTACTCTATAAAATGTCATTTTGTATAAGAATTCGCAGTCTAATTGTAATATTCGATTGGATGTGTTGGTTTTGTTGAGCCCTCATAATAGTGTTCTGGTATTAGAATTAGCAGAATCTAATAATCCATCTAACTCGATTCATACTAATTATAGGTTGTTACGCTTCCGGCACCTTATTCTTAGTCTGGGCAGCGAATTAGCGAGGAAAGTAAATTAATTACCTTTCTTTCAGATTTATATTCACTGTAACTTGCTCAAGTATTCTAAGCCTAAGCCTCATGGATTTCAACACCCTTCGAGAATTCTTCGATTTCCATTAACTTTTATAACAGCTAGGATGATTATGCCTTTGAATACTTTCATTAAAAAATCAATTGATAGGGTTTTACTTACTGTGTAGGAATACTTACAAAGTACATTACTATAACATAATAATATTAATTGTGTAAAACGTAATACATAATGTGTAAGTTCGGAATATCTAACACATATATTCATCTTGGTAATGTAAACGTAAGAATACATAAAATACTTTTTAATTCAATTATATATTTAAGAACATTAGTAACTTTAATAGAATAATTACTAGAATTACTAACCTTAATAAAAAACATATTGTTAAAGATATTGCCTTTAATTATTTCTAAGAGTCAGAAATGAGAAAAATGAGTTCCAACGATAAGTTACCTTTGCGTTTATTCTTACATCTCTAATTGTTCTTACATAAAGTGTTACAAACATTCATGGCAGCTACATGGGAGTGGACTTACGAGTGAATAGACAGTTCAATAATTTATAAAACATAGAATGATGTCTTCAATTCAATTTTCTGGATAACATACAAATATATTATCCTTCCAATGTATATTCTTTGATAATGAAACATCCAGAAATATTAATTATATAAATACAAGAATTTTTAACGACGAACATCAAGTTAATTGGACGTCAACGAGACCTTCGAGTGAACAGAGGCGGAACGAGGAACGTTTTTCACACTCTCGACATCCTCTTCGAGCGGGTAAGGATCGAATGGTTCCGTTTGTACAGCGACGTCCTCGTAATCGAGTTCCGAAGCGTCTTGTTCGTAAATCGCGTCGTGACTTCGTGGTCGGGCGACAGAAGGGATCCACGGTTGCGGAGTGCCCTTACCGACAGCCAAGAAAACCGCTGCGGTCGTTAATAAAACCACGGACGCGACGCCGAAGACTAATCGCCACGAACCCGCGATCTGCAAGAAAATTGGTCTGTCCATTAATTGTGCAAATCATTTCTGATTAACGCCCAGACCCTTAAATCGTTATTTCAAAATTATGAGACTGATATATATGATATATCTTGTTATTTTGAAGTAGAAAGTGTCGATATTAAATGGATGTATTTTTTTAAGTTTTTCATTTTTTTGTTTATTTTTGGAGGGAATACTTGCAATTCTCAACTGAAAATTTGGACATTTACTTCACATCAGTTATACTACGATCCTTGCTAAGCAAAATTAGATATTAACCGATTACAGAATTTGACGTACTTTCAAAACGTGTGTTGCACCGATGCAACTCTGGGTGTTAAAGGGTTAAGAAATTCCTACGAACGATAAGTATTGGGTGCACTAATAAGTAATCCACTATTTCTTAACAAAATCAGCATTGCTTTTTATGGAAATCAAGGATTTATATTGTTTTATTTGTATCATTATCATTTCTCGACATTCTGCACCATTGTTCTTCAGTGAAGGGGCAGAAAATATTTTTTATTTAAAATATATCGCGTTGTAATTAAAGAACTATATATTATTATTACAATCTTAGTTCATACGCATCCGTCAAATGAGATTGCTTAATATTTGTCAATAACTGAGTGTATTATAAAAAGTCGTCTAAGCCTCTGCGTTTCAATCCGATAAATAACGTACACTTTCATGTATACTTAAGTAATAGAATATCTGCAGGGCTTGAAGGAAATATAAAATTTTATAGAAGTTATATATTTTTCACTACCTTTACTACCTCGTATTAACATAAGTAATCTCTAATTGAGCTCTGGTAGTTCCTAATCAGTATTTATTCTAAACCTTACATAATATCGCGATGTTATTTCTCACATCATATAACATAAATTTTCTAATAGTAAATTGGTGAAATTGAATCATGTTAAAAATACTATTGCCATTACTACATGTATATTGAGAAGAATAAAGTTGTTTCAATTGCTTTTATAAAATCGTGAAGAACGACTCTGTAGAATTGAAATTAAATTTACCGGAATGTGTACAGACTTCTAACACTCTACACATATAAAATGATCCGCCATTAGATTTCTATTAATCTTATATTACGGACTGTAGCTGATAAACTCATTTCTTGAATAACAGTTAAAGTATATTCAACAGTGATACGGTTTTATCTTTGTTTGTTTACCGCATAACATATTGACAAACATATATTACTGTACAAACTTTGGATCAGGTATCATTCAGAATTCAAGTATAGTGATTCTGTAAATTATTACAAAATGAAGTATAGGTATGCATTAAAAATTACCGGAACGAAAACTGTGACATGCGAATAGAACTTCGAAAATAATTTTATTTATAGGATATAATTTCATATGACCAATATTTAACAGAAAAAAAAACAATTAAATCATCCGAATTTTATGTTTTGCAATTTAGACACTTCGTGTCATTCATGAAAAAGAATTATTCGACTCTACTTACTCCTCTCTTAAAATCTAAATTATATTTTCAATTATACTGTACAATTTATTACATTATATTATAGGTGAGTAGACATATTCTGACACCTACAGTTAGAATCTCAGGCTAAATACTTTCTCCGATTATCCGTTCAGAATATATTTTGCCTTCAACTGCACAAACCATTCCACCGTGGTGACTTAAACCAGGGTTAGTTACCGGTGCCTGTAGTCATTCAATCGATATCTCTCACCAACAAATGGTCAATGCTTTGTTCTCCACAATGACTGCTAAGAAACGCTTATTTTTGGCATGATTTGCAAGTGCATACTCTTACGACTACTGTTAAGATGTAGCTTGAAAATTTTTTCAATCGTTACGACTGATGAAAAGTTCTCCTATTCACAACATCGATCACGGTTAGATATTAAACGTCTATAACTCATAGTTGTATAACTCATGGAATCTGCCACAGCGAAATACATAAATGTCTACATGAGTGTGACATACTCCGCTTCGCAGGCGGAAAGGTTTTCAGGCCCCCATAAATTTGTTTTTTGCCCAAAGTCGAGCCACTACTTAAGTAACTTCTGTTTACTCTGTATCGATTGGTTCCAAAGGAGCACTTCCCCAGTGGTGGGAATAACGCGATTGCTCGTGTCGCATTCATCGAGGAGTCACTGTAGTTAACCGTTTGAGTTCCAAGCAGCGCGATCGCGCTGTTCAGATTTTATGTCGAGAAAACCCAGCACATTTCGAGCATTGTGGACAACTGACGGTGCGTCATCGACTGTCAAAGTCGCGTGCTCAGATTTACTGACGCAAGTAAATCACACAGCTCCTTCTTTTAATGTAAATAATACATTTTACAATAGGTACAATACCATAATAATAGTGCAATAATACATTACAAAATAAAACATTTTGTATTTCATTGTTATCTTCTCAATAATTTTTATCGAACAAAACTTGAAATATTTATAAATTTACAGTACGCATATGTAATAATACAGATATATTTCATAAAATAAGGAATTAGAAATTAAAAATATTTTTGTGTTATGAACAAACAATTTATCGACATAAAATAAAAGAAGCGCTGTTCTCGTACTGATTTAGAGAAGCGCGGTTGCGCTGTTCGGGATTCTTCGACAGTGTTTTTTCAATATCCCCTGGGACTCAAACGGTTAAAGAAGAATCCATTGGGATAACTTACAGATCCATGAAGAGCCTGAGTAACGAAATAGTTTGCAGCCAGCAAGCCCGCTGCCCCTAGAGTGGAGCACAAGGCGCACGCTGCCGCTGCACAGGCTGGAGATTCTACAGGTGCGAGGTCGGCTATCGCCGCTAACGCACCGGCAGGCGCTGTACCAGAAACGAGGAGAGCGGCTATACCCAACCAAGCGGCTCCTAATGCTTGGCAACCGGCGTAACCGGCGACAAAAAGCAAAGCCGCCGGGATAAAATGAGCTGGAAATGAAATCACAATTCTATTGTATTGCTTGCAATTAAACGTCCCCCTAAATGGAAAGAAAATTGTTGGTGTGTGAACGTATGAAATTTCACTTCTAATACTACTTATTTGTACATCTTTATCTATTCCATCTATTTTCGCAACACTAATCTCGATTCTGATATTTACAATTTTGTATTGTACAGTAATACCACGATTTACGCGAATTCGCACTTACGCCATATATTGTTCCATAAGTATTTTTATAGTTTAGTTTAATGAATGAAACAATATTAATTAGCAATAAATTAGCATTTTATTTTTAGATCTGGTATTAAAGAACCGATTAGCCCAGATTAATATAAAGTTGTATGGAAATTTGTACCCCTACTTACGCTTTTTCGACTTACGCCACCAATGCCAGAACCACCCATGGCGTAACTTCGGCGTATTACTGTGTGTATTCGAAAAAAAATACTTGTCATAATAAGCAATTCCTAGTTTCATGAGATATATCACAATGATGTACACTACCGACCATAGTTAGTAGGAATTTCCTCCGGGAAAAATTTGTTTATAACTCTCCAAGTTTGAAAAATGATTTTTCTATTTAGAAAAGTATTATTAAAATAGAACAACCTTCTAGGTTAAAATAGAATAAGAATGAACTCAGTACGGCAAATAGTTTCTGAGATAAAAATTCAAGTATTAAGTACACCACGGTTTCACGAAAATAGGCAAAAATTGCAAATTTTGACGGCCTATACTTTTTAAACAAATGCGATACCAGCAAAATGACATAATCTCCCCCCCCCCCCCAATTTTGCTTGGACTAGATCATACTTTATTTCGAACAAAATCATTGACATCGAGTGCAAAATGTGATTGTTTGGCGTGGAATGACCCAGTTACTAAATAGTCAGTGAACGTAAGAAGTGACCGTGTGACTTGAAGACTATTAAAACTCGATGGATAACACTTAAAGGTTGTAGTTTCTTAAAAATATTAATAACTGAAAGCTTGAAATAATGCTCAATTTCGTCAGAATGATGTGAACATATTTTCCGCATAACTTGAAGGAAGTTCATACAGAAGTTTTAACAAAATTGAATAAAACATCTGTTTTTAATTTTTCATTTAATAAAGTTAGTAAATGAAATAAATGGTTTTTTATTTTTGTTGTTATGATATAATCGGTAAAATATGAGTTTCAGGTTTGAAATAGCAGTATCTATTTCTAATTTAAACTGATTTTCTTTTTGACGTGCAATTTTAAACTTGAACGTGTTAATTATTCCTTGAATGTTATTATTATTGTGAATGCTTCAATCGACAACACTAACATTAGATTTAAAAGTTTCTTACTTGACAGACATTTATTCAAAAAGCTAATAAACTGACGTGATCAAAATTGCCTAATTATAGTGTATTATTTTCCAGGCAATGAATTCAATATTTGCGTCGTTATAACGAGATTTTCGCATGATTCTTAAGCAAGATATCACAAACTTTTACTTTCTTTAAACTGATTAATCAGAAAGATGATGTATACATCAGGAATATCATCCATTAATTAATTCACTGTGAACGAAGTTGAAAAAGAATCAGGTTGTTACTCTCAGAAAAATAAAAAATTTCTAATTAAGTCACATACCAGTGTAAACGACCAACTTTCTCGCCGTTGTCGTTGAAACTATCTTAGATTCGCGAACGTGATCTACGAGAAGGCCGCACGTTAACGCAGCCATGAAGTGACCAATGTGAGGTAACGTCGTCAAAACGGAATCCTAAAATTATTAACAATCCAATACATGGAAACGATTTCGCAGATAATTTCTAATAGTAAATTGTTTCAACGAAGATTCCGGAATTAATAAAATCTTCTGCAATTTTTATTCAATACAATTTAATGATACTGTATGACAAAAACAATTAAGTAAATAATTTTCCGCAGCATTGTACTAAATTGAAATATTTCAAATAACTCAAAAAGACTTCAATACTCGAAACTTGTATTTATCAGAAACAAAAATGTAGTGGATTATACAAACTATTCAGGCAAAACGACAAACGCACAATTGAACGATAATGCACTAACGCAACGATAGCTACTTGTAATAATATTCATATATGTATACAGTATAAACAAAAATTTAATTATTGTACACAGTTTGTATACCTCTACTTTAATGCTTATTTTTATATGACTATTAAAAGTTCTGCAGTGCACATGTATAACATTGAACAGAACGAATTTACAGCTTTGTTCGTAAAACAACAAACATAAGTGACAGTGAAGGGTTAAATCGTAAGTTTATTAATCATAGTATTTCTAGGGCATAAAGACTTACGTTAGCTGTAGAGAATCCATATATAAGTTTTAGGTATTTCGTCATACCGAGAGAAAGGGTTGCGTCGCCCCATTGATTGCCCATAGTTGCTACTGCGGACGCCCAAACAGGTACCGAACGTAGCAATTTTCCCCATGGAATTACGGATGCCTATTTCGTTATCAACTCTATATTTACATTCAACAATCCTTTTTGCGTACTATACCTATAATACCCTACGGATCTACCATAAAATATAACCATATCACAGTTTGCAGTTTCTTTTTGTTCTTTACATAATTTACATATACACTACCAGCCAAAAGTTTAAAATCACGACATGAATTAAAAGAAATAAGATCATTTTAAAACAAAAAATGACCGCTTTTAAAGTAACTTAGGAAGTTTTATTTCCCAGAAGAATTAAGTAGCATTACATTTTAAATATTCTACCATTTTTTACACACAGACACGTATCTCTTTTAAATTGGTCTTTCGCCCTTCGTTTTAATGATGGTCTAACATGTTTTGGGCATTAAAATCTATTATTGCAGCACGAAGCTGTCATTGGATAAACAAAACAATCGCGTATCGTTACATAAATAACGTAAAAACAGAATGTCCTTTTTGACAGTAGGAAAGATCAGGCCAAGCATTGCCTAAATTGAGGTTGTGACTTATAAGAGTACCTACCTTGGATATTTATAAACAAAAATACTCAAATTTCTCAAAATACAATATATTCGTGTTAACATCTGTTATATTAACGATGAGTCAGTGCAAAATTTATCAGGACATTCGATTTTGGTACAAATCAGCTATTAGTTAATAATAGCTATAAGTTATTCCAAACTTTTGGTTAGTAGTGTACAGTAACAATGACCTGAATTAAATAGAACGATCAGTTTGTGAAGTTATTTGAAAACTGTTTCATTAGTTTCTGTACATAATACGATATGTTGTGCGACACAGAACTTAAATAAAAATGAATCTTAGGAATTTCGTTAAAAAGAGTAATTACACTTACATTTGTGTCGTGCTGGTAAGACTTCGGCGTATCTTTAACGAATCGGCCGAAAGCGAAGTACCAACATAGTGCAATGATAACGAGACCATAGCAAAGAGAATCTCGGCCAAAACTTCGAACAACAGCTGTACCTAACCATCCCGTGAGACAGTATCCAACACTGACAGCTATTGGAAAATATTTTCTCCATTAATTATTTTTTTAATAAATTTTTGCGATTTCAAATAGATATCATAACGTGAAAAAGTGTTACTCATTGCCAAGGAAATGAAAATATTTGATCTAACGACATTTATGCAACAAAAGTTCAGAATTCAAATCCAAGAGAAGAACCAACCCAATCGTTTTATATAAACATAAAAATGTACATTATTTTACTGAAGTTTACAGGAAATTTTAAAAACGTACCAGCGTAACAACTGAAGTACCAGCTTCTATGATTGCTCTTAAACCAGGTCATTGCAAGCATGTGAGCAGCAGGCATGGTCGCGCCCTATTAAACAGAAATGACGTAATTATTCTCTAGATTTTAAATAAAATTCAATCTTTTATTAATTACGAAACGTAAAAAAGTGTTCTAAGAGTACTTATCCACGTACAATAATTCTAGAGGTATATGATATGTAAAGAGTGTTCAATGTGCGATTATATTAAAGTTCCACTGATATATTATAAATTTTAATTATAAGATAATTATTAATATTATACAACCTTCCATAGTAATATACGACTCAGTTTTGGGATTTCATTTTCTGTGAAGTGACTATTAGGTACTTGAAATTGAACTCGTCAAATGTAATAAATATTGAAATAACCATATTGTTTATAGATTAGTGTTAATATATTTTTAGTATATAAGCATTATATAAAACATACACACGTAACATAAATTCTTATTGCATTTACGAAATTAATCATTAAATTTTGAAAAAATTAGTAGATTTCTTATGAAATTGTCTGTATTTATTAAAATTTAATCCTATGATCCTTATGTTTTATTCTTACTGTACATAATCCCTGCAACAAACGAAGTGCTACATGAGACGGACCTCTCCATGCAGCTGGTACCAGCAAAGAAGCTAAACAAGCGCTAAGAACAGCACGTGAAAACACCATGGACGGACCAGATCTTCCCCATACCAAGCATCCTCCTAGAATTGGTCCAGCGACTTGACCCCACAAAAATGCCTCTCTCATTATAGATTCTGTACGTTCCTCTGGTGGTAACTATAAATGTCAACAAACTTCTTTGGTAACTATAAACAAATTTCTCTGGAAGTTTTACCTGTCATTAAGTTAATATAAAAGAAAGTTCAAAGAATAATTGCAAATTTTCAATACATCAGTTTCTATGTCACTCTATGTCATTAAGTCAATATAAAAAGAAGTTCAAAGAATATTTGCAAATTTTCAACACATCACAGTTTCGATATCCTTTTCTATGTTCTATTTTGTTTACACAATTTTCATGTCATTTTAAAGTGATAATACAGTTAACTGGTACATGCTAGTGAAATTTGCAACTGCAATTTTGGAATGCATTTAATTAACAGTCACCAGCATCATTTAATTGTATTTACCTCTAACAGTATGACTTCGAAATCTTCTGTTCGATTTCGACTACTAATATTGACCAGCATGTCACAGTGCCACGACGTGTCGATGATGGCATGATTGTCTTTCTGGTTGGCGAGCAATGCTACTGAAGAACTCACTTCAACAGCCCCACATAGTGCGAATCCCACTGCAACGAGCGCAGCAACGATGTGTCGCGCTCGCACAGCGGCTGTCGAATGAAAAACAAATACATTATTACCATTAATTAGGTTCACCCCAATATACACTGTATTTCAAAACTATAAAACCATCTGAAGTTTCCAGTTTTGACTAAATACCTGTGAAACAATAACGAAACCTTCATATACACAAATGTACAGTATTTCTCTTTGTAATAAAATATTTTATGATGCAGTGAAGTGCTTAGTTGATTTAATTGAATTTTGAATGCAAAATACAAGAATCGAAAATTTTAGGATGGTTTTATAATTATGAGGTTGTGTTATTTATATACAGGGTGTTTCCGAAATCGTGACACAACCGGGAAAGAGCTAAATTCCTCGTGTAAAATTAAGTCGAAAATATAAAATAAAATTTTTTCATATGGAGCACTGTTTGCGAAAAAATCGAGTTTGAAGATTCATCTAGAATGCGTGTATACATGCCGACAACAAGTAATCAGACAATAATCAGACAATAATCAGACACCACAACCAAGTTCGAAGTCCTACTCAATCGCACCTGTGTCCAGGAAATATTCAAATTCGATTATCTTGGAAACAAAGCATCACACAAAAAAATTTTATTCTACATTTTCGACTTACTTTTACATGAGAAATCATGTCCTTTCTGGTTGTGCCATGATTTCGAGAACACCCTGTGTATCATACAATTTTTGTTCTTTATTCTTCAACACAATTGGTCTTTTAAGATTGATAGTTAAATTATTTTATAAGAAATTCATGACTCAAAATATGAACCTGTATGGGTGAAAATTTAAACATTATGACATCACATCTTCTGTAATCATATTGCAATTCCGTAGCTACTTCATCTGTGATAAATGTTACACAATTGAGCAGCTTTTATTGAAACCAATTCATCTTGTTAAACGTAGCCGTTTAGAGCGTGGAATCAATATTTCCTCACACATATACACGTACACATACAAATTAATGGCGACGTTTAGTGTCTCTCGTAATAGACCATTACTTGGTTCTGATAAGTTACTCAAACAATAGCGTTCCGAGTTTCGTCATTTAATTCAGTGGCGGGAGTGTGTTCGTTAATGATCTGTACTAACATGTCCGCGAAATAAAATTTAAGTGAAATAAGTAGACAATTACAACAATATACCTATCTTTATGAGATTAATTTACAGGTACACACAATTCAGGGAAATAATAAATATAACAAATAATGCAAACAGTGCTTGTATGCAATGTATGTAACATTTGTAAATGATTATTAACTTTCTGTAATATATGCAAATTATAAATATTACATTAATTTTCCATGTATCAGATGCCTAAGGATACTATAATTATTTACATTAATTTAAACAATTCATTTAAAAATTCCTGCGGAAGATTAAATAAAAAATCAAGATAACATTTGTGACATATATCTCCGGTATTTAACACAACTGATCTGTATTCGCGTTTGATTAATTTGTGTAAAAATAAGTGTTGTTTATTACATTCCGTGCAACAAACCTCGAACCTCTTTGGCAGCTTGCTTTATTTGTTCACCGCTGTGTTTTACGAGCTGCACGCTACCTCTCTTGACGAAGTCTGCCATTTCACGAAACTCGAAAGAAGCAAAATTAACGAATGCATGCCTCTCTTATCAGTCTTCGCGTTTGATTCTATGCCTATTATCTCTTTCCTACCCCGTGTAACACTGGTGACCTCGACTTTGATGTTGTCAGGCGTAATACAAACAATGGTTCTTAACACGTTCGCTGCCGACCGGGAAATCTCAAAAAGCACGCTGTGTTGTATCGATTCGAGTAGTTCGCACAGGGCTTCGAGTCCTATATATATATAAGGTAGACAAAATTAATTTTCAAATAAACAAAAACTAATTTTTTCAATAACCATATATTAAAACTCTTACACATTAAAACCTTAAATCCTTTTTTCGAACGTGTAAATAAAATAAGGCTGTAGTTAATCGATCACGTTTCAGGCATCAATAGAAATATTTTTCAAGTTTATTAGGGTGCACTTAACTTTTAAATTTATTATGGATAACATCTCAAAGTACGTATTTCAGTTTTAATAACTTTAAATTATCCATAACTTTCTCGTACTTTAGAAATTAAACTTCGAGTCAAGTAATTAATTCTTATTAGAAATTTGCATTATGTACGGATTTGTCAATATTTTACTATATGTTCGACGTTGTTTCACGCAATAAGAGTTGAATATACGAACAGTAGAGACTTTCTAGTTATTTTTTAATGGCAAATTCGATTGGTAAAACTTTACAAAACAATACTTACGCGTTAAAATTATTCTTAATGGTCACGCCTGTGATATAGCGGTTTGTTTATTTCAGCCGCTGATATTTATGGACCAATCCTATGGTATCCTATACTAAAAGACATTTTTATCATGTCTCGCTCATTTTCTCGAATTTTTCATCATAAGCAATGATAATATCCCCAGTTTTTACCGTCAACTCATTCGTTTCTTCAATCTTTGAGCGTCAAGTGTGCAGTATACGTCTCCTTATAGTGTCTTTCTTTTTATAATGTTTTGTTGTTTCCACTGTGGTTATTATTATTTTCTTATTCTTCTTGTTATTATTTCTTGTCATTGTTGTTGTTGTTGTTATTTCATTTTGTTACGTTATCAGATTATATATATATATCAACACGTTATATTATATAGTATAAATCTGTATCTATGGTATAACATGCCGGTAACCCTCCATACATTATTTTACCACGCTAAAAGGAGAATTCAATTTTTTGTAATTCTAATTGGCTAAATGTCAGAAGTGGTTCAAGAAGCACGTCATAAAGATTGTCGCAGATTTAAAGAGAAACATACTCACGAAACGTCAAGATTAAATACTAATTTTTATTTATTAGTAATGTTAGTAATTACTTCAGATACATTGATAAATAGTTTTCGTGAAACTTCCAAAAAGAAACTTAGCTCATAAAACCTTGAAATAATCAAGTTATTAGAAAAAAATACGAAAGGTACTTATTTGCAAGGAGAAGTTGCTAGCACTGCTGCTGATGTAGATGAGCAACCAGTATGAATTGTATGTCGTGCATTGATAACTCGAGTAGTGAGTAAGATAAGTATGTAATATAGTTTAAATAATTATTGTTATAGTGCATAGTTAAGGAGAAATATTGCAGTTTCGTATTTTTGCTTTCATATTTTAAAAATATTTATTGATTATTGTTTATTTTTCTGTTTACTTTATTTTAAGTCATATTTTTCCTTGTATTTTTTATGTATTTATTATTATATACTTTCCTTTTTATCTTATTTTATTTTATTTTATAGCTGAAGTGCAATACTGTAATTCTGTTTTTTTTTCATTTAATTAGTCATATTTTTTTGTTATTAATATTTTTACATGAGATACTAAACTGTGATAAGGAGCAGGGCTGTTTTCTAACCTTTAGAATCCTATATAAACCCAATACCGCGAAAAAATAGTTTTGTCTACCAGAAAAACAAATTTATATACCATTAAAAGTGCCTAAGATATTTGGGGTGATAGATTTAAATGACACCCTGTCTATACAAAACACTTACTTTTGGAAAATGTTATTATTACAAAATAAATAAAATCTTACCTATGGTCTGTTTTTCGAAAGATGATGCCTGGGAGGTAGGCCCGAGTTTTCGCGGTGTTGCCGCGATCGCGAGACACCTACGGTACTTCTGTCTCTCTCACTCCTCGTGTCTTGGCCAATGACGTGCGACCGTCGACGTGAGTCCTCGCCTACGGTCGTCTGTCTCTATCACACGTATTACAAACCTCTCGAGATGGACCTACCTACAATCTCAAGGAGTGGGGACTGCGTTCGGCACGTGGCCGTCAATCATCCATTGTCTGGAAATGGCGGAGAATGTTGACGAGACGCAGAACATTTTCACACGTCAAAAGTTAAAATACATGAATAAGAAAAAGTTTATTTCTTTTAAAAGTATGTATTGTACCCAAATATTGAGCAACATATTAAAAGGAGATTAAATTAACATGTAGGTTATTAAACGCTACACGTGGAAATCGCAGGGTAAAGAAGGAAGTTGGTTTACCGAGCGTCTGAGCGAGAGGCTCGCGTGCCGAAGTGCCGGAGGATGGAAAGAGACACAAAGTGGCATTGAGACCGTGCAACGTCGCACGAAATACGCAGCTCGCGTTGGATCTCCGCCAGGCCACGCGCCGAGGCAGGCCTGCCTCCCAGGCATCATCTTTCGAAAAACAGACCATAGTAGCATACTACAGTATTGTATTTTGCGATATGCATATTGTACATAATTTGAATACATTTACTCAAAAAGGAACATTCAATTTGAATTGCAGAGAATATCAATTGAATAATACATGATACAAGAAATGGAATTTTTCGAGTATGTTGTGTACTTGTCTGCTTAATCTAATTATACGTACTTATGTAATACATAAATAGTAAGTCCAGGAGACATTTAAGAGACTCGTAACAACACTGTAGAAATGACAAGTTATAAAATTGTTTATAATAAGAACACCAGTGAATTATTATATGAACGTACTTACATGAGTAATATGATTGGAATATTTAAAGTACAATTAAGCTCAATTACTCACAGCAACGTTACAACACAAGGACAGCATAGAGAGCAACATTATATCAATGCAAACAACTATATTAACACTAAGCAATTTAATATCTTCAATAGAAAAAATATTATACTAAACATTCGTATGAACATAATATTAAATAATACTATTAACTCAATCAACCCTTTCTGATATCAGTAAATTTAATATCAATCACACCATATCAATTAAGGATTTCTAAATAAAATGTTTCCAAGTAAATTCACACCAAAAGCAAATAATACAAATGTACTAACTATTTCTATTATGTTATCAGTTACCACCATAGGTGTATTCAGATTACACTTTCAAACGTACATGCTGCTTACCTTTCATTTCTCGCGCCGCATGTCTCAATTGGACGCTCCCGCGTTTAAGACGAACGAGCGCTGCCATGGTTATCAAACTTTGCCATGCACAATTCGATGCTTCATCCCGTGGAACTGATAATTCAGGAACATTTTGCGATGGTATTCGCCGGTTTTTCACTGGCACCTTTGCACCGTGATACCGGGCTAATCCGACCACGGTGAGGTACACGAACCGTACTGGTCATCTGGGAGTACGAGTGAATGAACATCTCTTAACGAGACTTGATACAATAAGTACCTATGCCGGGTCAGCCTTGACGCACCGTTTCAGGTCTGCCTCGTGATATTTTGTCATCCGTGCTACAAAACGATATCGCAGATTTCACGCGCGATAAGAATCTGTTCCGATTGCCCGATTTCTTTTGTCGCGTTATCATAGACCCAAAAAGTGTTTGGAAACATCGCTGTTTTGTTTACATGCGCTTATAATTATAGTAGCGCATCTCATAACCGATCTAATAAGAATACATAAGCGCCCTAGCCGGTACTAAATTTCATTTAGTTATAAAAAGATCAAGAAGAATGACAGTTTATTTCCTATGGATCTTGTATCATTTTAGCTGCTACATTACAGTAACATATATAACATATAACTGACACTTAAGGGGGGAAACTTCGTGGCCCGTGAGCTGTGTCCGTGCACTCACACAATCAACGGAAACCGTGTATGTATACGCGATGCACGAGAGAGACAATCGATTTCGTAAATTCCAACTTCTGTCTTAATAATTGCACAAATAAACTTTTCACGGGTATGGCACTCACGGGTAGACTTCATTACAGGGTGGTTTGGTCCTTATAAACATCAATAAACACGTAGAATTGAAAGATTTAGAATTTTAGAAAGTGTGCGATTGTGACAGACGCAGATGAAAACACACGAGATGGCTGTACAATTCACATTTTGTTAAATATCACACGATTTAATGGTTTTCTCCTCAAAAGCCGACCAGACCACCCTGCACACCACTATCACACTATCGTAGAAATCCAATTTTTGCCAATTTATCACTTCTGGAAGGCAGAAGTTGGAATTTACGATTCGACGCATCCAGACTCACACGGAAGGTTTCCCAACCCGGAGGCGCCGATTTCAATGAAACTTCGTACGTTTGTTAAGCAAGCAAAAACAAGGGACACGTATTTTTTTTATCGGCTAACATTCACTTTAAGGCGGTGAAACCACCCCTCAAAGTTTCGACCCAGAAATACTATCTCGAAAACCAAAGGAGATACATGAAAACTTCTAATGGTCGAGTTTTATGATTTCTCATGTACAATAATATGGTATTAAAGAATTGTCCAAAATACAATTTGTTTATAACAAAAAAATTTGTTATAACTTTATTTTACAACTTATTCAAATTTACATAATGAGCAAAAATGACGAGCATTTCATTCCAAATCCATTTGTATATATATATATATATATATATATATATACTGAGGCGCATCGATTGCTTCTAGAAGCATATGGTGAAGCTGCTTTAAGTGAGAGAAGTTGTCAGGAATGGTTTCAAAAGTTTAAGAACGGTGAGTTTGACGTGAAGGACAAAGAACGCAGTGGAAGGCCAAAAGTGTACGAAGACATGG